GGCGTCGAGCCGATAAACACATTTTCATTTAAATTCAATAAACTCTGAGGTTACCATAAAAATATAAAGTAGTCTTACTCCAATACTTTGCTTGCCACAGAACTGTTCAAGTACTTGAAAATGAAAGTACTTACCAGTACTTGGACTCTCTGCCAATGAATTGTACCATAGACCTCAGAGTGATTACTGTGGAACACAGAGAAAAAAATTTTAGAACTATATTGAGGCCTGGTGCAGTGGCTCATGCCTGTAATCCCAGCACTTTGGGAGGCTGAGAAGGGAGGACTGCATAAGCCCAGGAGACAGAGACCAGCCCAGGCAAGATCAAGACCTTTTATCTACAAAAAATAAAATAAAATTTAGCCAGGCATGGTAGTTTGACAGCCCTGATCAAAAAAGATTTTATCAAATCTAACAGATTAAACTTTCACCAAATAGATTTGATAAAAGCCAAAACAAAACAAGCAAGCCAACAAAAGTCACATAGGCAAAACACTTTAGTTAACTCCCATTCAACCTAAGTACTTGGCCAAGAGAGATCAAGTCATAAAAGGCAAGAAATCAGATTTCAGTTGTCAACTGAAAACATACCGTGGAAGGGATGTGTGATGAGGGTAGCAGCAGACCGAGCAATCATCTCTCGAGTAGTCTAGAAACAATCAACACACATTTCTGAAATCTAAATAAATGACACTCAAACTCCTTTGAGAAGGAATGTGGGTGGATATTGTGTTATAGGATAAAAAAGTGAGCAATACAGCACACCTATCCTGGAGTCAGGAACAGTAGCTAGAATGGGATATAATAAAAGACACAATCGTTCTATCATCCCTTTCACTCATGGATTTCAATGTTCCGTTATAGTTCCCAAAATTTCTCTGCAAAGCAGACTTCTGTTAGTTTCTCAATTTTATAGATAAGAGGAAAAATGCAAGGAAACAAAGAGGGTAACTAACAATCACCAGGTTGAAAGAAAACTATGATGCTTGTACTGAGATTATAAAGTTGCTCTCTTATTGCAAGTGATTTTGAAGAGAAACTATCTCTGCTAGACAAACACCAGGCTCCATTTAAACCCCACCAACACCTTGGGAAGAAGAGAACAACTTTGTTTTGCATACACAGGTCCATGACTGTGCAGTATTATAAAGCTACTGAGTTTATCCTAATTTATCATGCTAGTCTAGCACTCTATAATAAAGTAATAAAGAAAATATGATTATAACCCTGAAAGATAAGGCCTGGGATTGCAAGTGTATTAATAACAGAACTGTCATTTGCTTTTGCATTTACATGTTATCTTCAGTCACTTAATGAAAATATCCCACAACCCTCTTCCAACCACAGTTCTGAGAAGATCCTGTGGGACAGAATGGGCTAACTAAAGTTAAGAAAATGCTAAAAGCTGGCTTGGCACCTGTGGCTCAAGTAGCTAAGGCACCAGCCACATACACCTAAGCTGGTGGGTTCAAATACAGCCTGGGCTTGCCAAACAACATCAGCTGCAACACCCCCCCCCCCCCAAAATAGCCAGGCATTGTGGTGGGTGCCTGCAGTCTCAGCTATTTGGGAGGCAGAGGTAGGAGAATTGCTTGAGCCGAGGAGTTGGAGGCTGCTGTGAGCTATGATGTCATAGCACTCTTCCCAGGGGGACAGCTTGAGGCTCTGTTTCAAAAAAAAAAAAGAAAAGCAAAGAAAAGAAAATGCTAAAAGCTTGGGCAGGGCATGGGGGGATCATGCCTGTAATCCCAGCACTCTGGGAGGCTGAAACAGGTGGATTCTCTGAGCTCACAAGTTGGAGACTAGCCTGAGCAAGAGCAAGACCCATGTCTCCATTAGAAAAATAAAAAAACTGAGGCAAGAGTATCACTTGAGCCCAAGAGTTGGAGGTTGCTGTGAGCTATGATGCCATAGCACTCTACCCAGGGTGACAGCTTGAGACTCTGTCTCAGAAAAAAAAAGAAAAGAAAATGCTAAATGCAGACCAGATGCAGGGGCTTCTCCTGTCATCCTAGCACTCTGGGAGGCCGAGGTGGGAAGATCCCTTGAGCTCAGGAGTTCAAGACTAGCCTGAACAAAAGTGAGACACATCTCTACTAAAAAGACAAATTAGCTAGGTGTAGTGGTGGGTGGCTATAGCCCAGCTACTCAGGAGGCTGACGCAAGAGGATGAGCGCAGGAGTTGAGGTTTCTGTGAGATAGACTAATTCCATTGCATTCTAGCTTGGGTAAGAGCGAGACTCTGGCAAAACAAAACAAACAAAAAAAGCCTAAACACCTATTAATACACATATCCCTGCTTTTATTGTCTTGCCACAGTATTCTGGCTGGAGTGCAATGGTTATTCACAGGCACAATCTCACTACTGATATCAGCACAGTAGTTTTAACCTGCTTTGTTTCTGACCTGGGCCCCCCGACTCCCAGGAGGTTACCCTATGATGCTGAAGTCAGTTTGGACACCCAATTGGCATAGTGCACTACAGCCCAGAATTCTGAACTCAGCAGTTCTCTGGACTCAGTGATCCTCTGGCCTCAGCCTCCTGAATAGTTGGGACTACAGGCATGTGTCATCTCATCCAGCCATATTCCTACTTTTATACAAACTTACTTTATGAAAATGTACAGAAAACAGACCTAATTTATCTCATGCCTAGTAATGTTTTGGAATGTATATATTTTAGAGGGTGCCATTTCCTGGAAAATTATATCTTTACTGATGACAATCAGACAAGGTGAAGACTAAGAAATAAAAGAGCAGCTCTGAAAGCAAGGCACAAAAGACATGCCGATGGCAGAAGGTGGGGAGGGAAATGGGCAATGCAGAACATTTAGAATAACGTTGTAAAAGCATTTCTGGATATAATATCCAACACACAAAGGGCCCAGTAGCAATTTAATACTTCCGTGCCTGAGGTATTCAATACTTTTCAAAAATCTTCAGTAGAAACCTCTTCAACTTTAAAGATGGAAATCAATGGAAAAATGAGTTTCCCTGAAATCCATCTGTTCTAAACATTAAGAACTACTCCTCTCTCTTTTTTATGTTATAATATAGCAAAGCCCGATAAAGTGAAGGCTCAGTTTCATTTAGGGAAAGACACTGAACATAACAGGCCTGATAATCCTGATTCCACAGTTGCTGCATGGCAGTTTGATCGAAGTGAATAGCACAGGACATGATTTATCTCTTACCTCCTTGATAACCCGGTCAAAGCAAGACGAGACTTCTTTCTGTCCATTTCCAGTTCCTAACTCCTGGAAAACAAAATCGAAGAAGACGGAGATCTTGATGGTTTTAAATAGAACTGTCCAAACTGGTGGCCACCCCACATGCCAACACTCACTGAGATGAAAGGGAAACTGACTGCTTGGCTTTGCTCCTAAAGAGGCCCAAATAGCAATAATAACTTGCCAGGGAAAGGCGCTCATGGCTAGAAATCAGCTCCAACATACCTCGCCCTTGTCATACTCCTGGTAATGCTACAAAAGAAAAGAAAAAGGATGATTACAATGTCATCATGTAATATGTCATCATGACATATTACAATGTCACGTGAGAGAAGACATAAAATGGAAACTCTATTGGCAGAAAGTAAAATTAAAATAGCTTTAGATTTTTCAACTTTTATTAATCTTTTTTTTTTTTTGTAGAGACAGAGTGACATTTTGTCGCCCTCTGTAGAGTGCTGTGGTGTCACACAGCTCACAGCAACCTCCAACTCCTGGGCTTAGGAGATTCTTTTGCCTCAGCCTCCCAAGTAGCTGGGACTACAGGCGCCTGCCACAACGCCCAGCTATTTTTTTTGGTTGCAATTTGGCCAGGGCCAGGTTTGAACTCGCCACCCTCGGTATATGGGGCCAATGCCCTACCCATTGGGCCCCAGGTGCCAAATCTCCAGTTAACTTCTAATTAATCAATTGAAAGTGTCTCCCAGATGACCCTGTCACTAAGTTTAATACATTGGTCAGCTGGAGGAACATGCAAATTCTCATGAAAACTCCTATTTAAAAAAAGAAAACATGGGAGGCCAAGGCAGCTGGATTACTTGAGCTTAGAAGTTCAAGACCAGCCTGAGTAAAAGTGAGACCTCATCTCCACTAAAAGTACAAAACTTATCCAGATGTTATGGTGGACGCCTGTAGTTCCAGCTACTTGGGAAATTTAGGTAAGAGGATCACTTGAGTCCAAAAATTTGAGGTGGCTGTGAGTTATGACATCATGGCACTCCACCCAGGGTGACTAAAGAAATAAAACAAAAAAGAAAATCCGAGAACATTATGTACTAAACACATTTTAATGAAAAATAAGTAAAACTGTAGTCTAAGGTTCCTATTCTTCCCATGGAAAAAGCAGGATCAATACCAAATTAGGGCAAGATTCTTTTTTTACTGCATAAAACAAAACAGAAGTGATGTCATGCTGGAACAGCTGAAAATGCCTTACTTTTCCTTTTCTATTTATTTCTAAAACAAGTAAGGGAGAAGAGTTTTTCTCTTCTAGAAAAGAGACCAAGAACGTTGCCAGAGCCCAGACCATATTGGAAGAGGATTTTTTTTTTTTTTT